GTAATAACGAGATGTTTTCTCGTTTTAACGATATCTTTTCTCGTAATAACGAGATGTTTTCTCGTTTTAACGATATCTTTTCTCGTAATAACGAGATGTTTTCTCGTTAAAACGACATCTTTTCTCGTAATAACGAGATGTTTTCTCGTTAAAATGACATTTTCTCGTTAAAACAACATCTATTCTCGTAATAACGAGATGTTTTCTGGTTAAAACGACATCTTTTCTTGGGTTACATTTTTACATTAAATTTTTAACCCAGAAGTTGGGTTAGTCCATATTTGACCCAAAGTTGGGTTGAAACAACCCAGCATTTTTTAGTCTATGTTGTTTTGTTTACTTTTGCGATTTTAGAGCCCCCTACAGTTAAGCAAGTGGAATTCATCATCATATATGGTTATGAAAGTGGATAGCTGTACCAGAGATGATTTTTTTTTATTGGGCGACACCAAGGTCTGCAGAGAAACGGCCAAATTAGATCACATGTGCCTTGATAACCAATTAGTAATGTCACTGGATTTCTGTCAGAGTTCTGCGACAGTCAATCACTGTTTTCGGATACCATAGAAATGAACGAGAAGTGCCGTAAACTGAATCCTACCTGTCGCAAAATTGTCCAAGACTTCTCCCATAAACCAGCATTTCTGCATTTCTGTGTAAACTCTAAAAATATATCAATCTAAAAGGAAAGTTGAAGATTACATGTTTTTGAAAACATGTTATTCACTAATTGATAAACTGTTTGCCTAGAAAAGCAGTTTTGTCATGACAACTGTCAGAGGGATTGGCATTGTAATGTACATTACAATGTTAATGTATTTGGTCTTGGCGGAATAGATCTGCTGCTGCTGCAGAGCAAGTACCGAGACTTTCTACTGCCAATACATCCACAACATGCTGCTGTGAGCATGTTAGAAATACTGCTGCTGCACATATAACATATGCATAACATACATGAAATTACTCTGTAGCAGATCTATACAGGTGGAGCTGGGGAAGGAGGAGGGTTTCTGAAGCGCGCTGCACATGCTACATCAAGCAAGTATTTGAATGCTGAGCAGCAAGCTCTTTGGCTGAAAAGAACCAATCAGCTGCGCCATCTAGAGTTTAACGACAGAACTTTGGATTTTATTCAGTATAGTGAAGCCTTCATTGCCATCCATAAAGCGTGGCCTCTGGTTTCCATCCATGTGTACTGCAGCTTAATGCTTTTTTGCTTTGAGGCTTGCCTTAAAGTGGCTTTGGCTGTACACATACATTTGTTGCTGCCGTAAAGCAATTTGCCCTTTTTGGTTTACATTTCTAGTTAGGATTTATAATTAATATTCATCTGAAATGTTATAAGGATATGTAACAGAAGAATGTGTTTAAAGAGCATAAACAAATATATAAAAAATAATAGGTCCTGCTGGTTGTTGACTAACATCAGCAGTCACATTCACAATATATTGATTCACGAGTTAGGGAGCTAGAGAGCCGATTGAGAAGCACCCTTATATACTTACAGTTCAAAGTGAAAATTCTAATTTCATATTCTAGCTAATTTAGCTTGAGTGAAAAGTTGAAGCTAGAAACTACCCCCAACTGCATTAAGTAGAATTTTTATATTGCCTTTATAACAATATTTTTACTTGAATGTTTTTTTTTAAGTACATTCATTATTAACAATAGCTAATTTAGCTTTTGTTTATGGTGAAATTACATTGTAAAAAGGTAGAAAAATAAATTAAGCAACATTTAGGCTTTTGTCTAAAGAAAATATATTGATTAAGTATGGTATGGTTTTCATAATAAGGAACCATTTTACTTGAATGTTTTTTTTTATTTCTTTAGGAAAATAAATATTTTTGATTAATATTAAATAAAAACTAAAGGTTTGAACCAAATCAATAATATGATTCAAAAACAAATTTGCTGTAACAAATAGTTTCTTTGTTTTTTGGTTCAGTGTATCATTCATATGCGTAGCATAAACATGGGACGAGTTACTCCAAAGTTAATATATGGTTAGGGGTTTGTTCAGATCGTCAATCCTAAGCTATGAGTAATAGTAATAATGATAGTGCACTTGGTTTTATAAAATACCTCTAACAATAATCTCCACATGTCATGTTGGAATAAACACCACAAACCTACGTAAACCACTGTATGAGGCCAATACAGACTTCTAAAGACACCCATACACACAGGTTTTAGGGTTAAATGCCTATAGACTGTGGCATGTGGGGGCGTCAAGCATAATAGGTTCAAGCTGACCACTTCCACTGAAGCCGCCCACATCTGGTTTGCTTCCCACGTGGACTACAAAAGACCTTACTGGTGACATCAAGTCAGAGCTCAAGTCATCCCAGCTCCTCATATAAATAGTGTAGCTACAATGTGAGGTATGTACGCCAGGGAGAGTATCCCATATGAGTCACAGGAAAGGAAATCAGTGAAAGGGCTGTACAGCCATTAGGAGAATACTGAGTAATGTTTATAGTAGGAGCAGGTTTACTGTATGTGTCATGAGCAACATGCCTTACATCACTGTTCGCCACAGTCCCTCTGCTCTCTGTGATCTCCATCAGAAGTTTCCACTATTTCTTAATCCTTTATGTCTTAAACATGTGAAGTATTTGTAAATTTCTAAATTTCTTTTTAAATTTTATATCCAAATCATATACTTTGGGGTCCTACTCCAGATAAGCAGCTGGCATAAAAATTACCAAATTACCCCTTGCAATTTTTGACAGGACATCACTTTCAACAACAAAAAAAGGAATACTAACTAACTATTTTATATATTTTTTATGCGTTATTTCAACGTTTTGACTTGTTTTTATTCAAAAATGTGGAAAAAAAGTATTAAAGGGTTAGTTCACCCAAAAATGAAAGTTAGGCTGTGTTTTACTCACCCCAGAGGCATCCTAGGTGTATATGACTTTCAGACAAATCCAGTCGGAGTTATATAAAAAATTGTCCTGGCTATTCCAAGCTCTATCATTGCAGTCAGCGGGTGTTGCAGTGCTTCAGTCCCAAAGAAGTGAAATAAAAAGCGCCCATCCATAAAAAAAAAACAGTGTCTCACACGGCTCCGGGGGGTGAACAAAGGCCTCCTGTAGTGAATCGATTAGTTTTTGTACGAAAAATATCCATATTAAAAACGTAATAATCACTTTAATGTAGCTTGCGCCAACAGTTATACACAGAAGCAGTTCCGGGCGGATGACGTATGAGGTCAGCGTTGTGCATGCGCTGGTGAGTCTCGTGAAATCCAACATTTGTTTACAGGAGCAAAGGAAGCAAAGTTTCCTTACTTTAGCAAAGGAAAACCAGTCTCCTCTTGGCTTACATCGAAATCCTCTGATATTCTTCTTTACAAATCCTCGTTTTGTATTTCTAATTCGTGACTGTTGTTTTGTTTTGATCTCTCTGCTGCGTTTCCGCGTGACAATCATCATAACAAATTACAAAGGGGTACAGAATCTTTAGACCAGCAGGAAAAAATAATTCAGTGCCTACTTTGTTTTGGTTAATGCACGGGTGAGTGTGAATATAGAAAATATGGAGCATGTTCTTCTTCAGAAAGTCTGTGCATCCCCATGGAATGAAGATTTGTCTCTCAGTTGATGTCTTGATATTATTAATTTTTTTATATTCTTTTTATAGAATTTTGATTTGCGTAAACAAGATTATTATGCAGGGCCAGTGTAACTGACAGTGTTGGGGAAACTTAATTTTAAAAGTAATGCATTACAATATTGCGTTGCTCCCTTAAAAGGTAACTGATTGCGTTATTTATATTTTATAGAAAGTAATTTGTTACGATACTTTTGCGTTACTTTTTCTCAGCTGGGCTTAGCTTACTTGTTACTTACAAAAAGTTCTATTTTTGGAAAATGTAAAATTCCTTTCCCACTAAAGTGAAATGAATAAGCCTTAGGCTGAAGGACATGCAAATTCATGTCTGTACAGTAGAGGGCACAGCTCAAACAAACCAGCTGTGCTCAGATTCTGGACACAGGAAAGGCGATTTAACATTATTCAGCAATAATAATAAAATACTTTTATTATTATTAATAATAATAAATTAAACACTAATGTTATGTTTAACTGAAGTCATTTTTGCTGAATTGCATCATCGTACAGTAGGTCCGCAGCAGAGACATTGGTTTATAAAATTGTATTAAATACATAAAAGTATATTTGTGTTATGTAACATACGTTATTATTTCAGGTTTGTGTCATATTATGAGTTTGCATAACTGTTGTTTTTATTTCTAGGAATGCCGAATCTGTTTTGTGCAAGTGAGATGAGTAAATGCATGTTCACATTTATAGAACTACAGAACTACAGTACACGGCACACACAACACCTCTGCACTTACTCCTAAATTCTTCTCAACATGGGGACAGGAGAGCTGTCAGTCAATAAATGGCAAAACAAAGTAACTGGTGTTACTTATTTGAAAATGTAACTCAGATATTTTGTTGTAAATTGAAAAGTAATGTGTTATTTTACTTGAAAAAAACGTAACTTGATTATGTAACTTGCGTTACTTGTAATGCGTTACCCCAACAATGGTAACTTGTGACACACATAATAATCATGTAATCAGTGTTGATGAATTGCGTTGAACTTTCTTCTCCTGCGTCATATTCTTCATGCAATTTGTTTGAGCTGCACCTACTGAACAGACATGAATTTACATTTCCTTCAGCCTGAGGTGTATTTATTTCACTTTTGTTGTGAAAGGGCTTTTATCTATATTATTTTATTTTTCATACTTTGTCATTTTACTTAGTATATGACACAAAATGATAAAAGTTTAGAAACTTTGTACGATACCGTACTGACATAGGATCGTTTTACAATTAATTGTTTTTTAGTAATGTAAAATATGTGCATAATAAAAGGTGAATGAGTTTAAACAAATTTACCATTTCTTACAAACTTACCAACAGTATAGCATGAAAAAAATGAGAAAATTACAAAATAAATTATGATTTTTTTTTTAATGATTTTAAGTGCATCTTTAAACAATCAAACATGTTAATATCTAACAATACTGCTCATTACATGACATAATCAAAATGATTAAAACCCTTCACTTATTATTATAATGATCATAAACTGACATTGAACATTATAAATGAAGGTTAATCATTATTTTAATTGGATTGAACTGAATAAACAGACCTAAACTTTTCCACTGTAGAAAATGACATGATGTTAACAGCATTCATTCAGATATACTCTGGACGCGCTACAAATCTAAAACTGTAGTCATCGGGACAGGGGTTTGGAAGGCCCATACTGCTGTTATTTGGAATCACTGCCATGTCATTTTTGAAATCTTGAACATGAAAGACATTGTTTTCATTCTTACAGCTGAGAATCAACCTGTTGCTGTAGCGAATGGTGCTAGTGTACATGTTCTGATTACCATATCCGTAAAACCTTGCAACAGGAAAAGATGTACATGACATACCATAGTTAGAGCATTCCTGAGCACTAAGAAACACCTGGGCTTGCCACTGGACCTTTTGTTCTCTGTAAAGAGCACTAGGGTATGCTGGAGTGGAGAAGGTTTGTATTCTGTTATTTTGGCCATAGTGATAGTATGGGTAATTGACGGTTGTGTCATTGATAAATAGACTCCACTCATCTCCAGTGTAGATTCTGGATAGATACTCACTACTCATGTTTTCCATTTGATTCCTGATCTTAGAGAAAGGCAGAGCATTGAACTGAAAACCTCTGAGCAGACCAGTTAGGTACAGTTTCTCATGATTCTGATGGAGAACGCTTGAGGAAAACTGCGTTTCATACAGTTTATCCACTGGGATCAAGAGGAAGCGGATGTGATTCAGGAGACTGGTCTGTTGATCTGAACTAATCTCCTCACCTTTGTCTTGGATCCATCTCTCCAGAGCTTCAAGAAGTAAAGCTTCATCCTTCACAATCAGGTCTGAGCGCTGCAGCAGAGCGTCCATCATGTGAAAGGAGATGGTGCTCCACACTGGAGAGCTTATGAGGTACTCGCAGTTCCAGGAAAGATACTGAAGGACGTTCTCCTGCAGAACAAGATCATCTGTGCGAATGCCGTACTCGTACATGGATACCTGTGTAAGGAAGGTGTTGTCTTCGGGAAGGAGTAAAGTGAAGGTCCTGCCGACATCCTCCATAAGCTTCTTCACTCCAAAGATAAACGCCAGCTGATGCAGACATTGAGCAGACGTGATGGAAACATCAATCTGACGTGTGTATAAATACCTGAGCAAAAACAGATATTGTTAGTGCCTAAGTGCTATGTCAATATTTAGTTCTGACAGGAGTCATTCTCAGGAAATGGTGTCATTTGTGGTTGTAACTGGTGGTTACAATAACTTAAAATAATCAATTTAAAGGCTTGAATACACTACATAAAAAATATTGTCTATCGGCATGCTACACTATAGGCACTTATACACCTCATTGCTAAGAGATGTATGACAAACTGCTAAGAGCATTGAGTGCAAGTTTCACAAAAGTAACCACATTACAGCTGTTTCTTTGGTATCGGAGGCTTCCCTTCAGCTTGCCCAACAAGCAGCAAGAAATAGAGGTTGAGTGACAAAATGGAATTCAAACGTATTTCGGGCAAACCAATATCAGTTAATCCTTCACTCCACCTTCTTTAAACTATATAAGGTATTTTATACTCATTCTCCTTCATGTGTCGCACAGGCATATGCACCCCTTTCCCTCTTAGCATCTTAAGAATAGAGCAATTGGATACCTGCTTAAGAAAACTATTGTTCTGCTGATGATAGCCATTGACTTTCTATGAAAAAAAAAATACTATGGAAGTCAATGGCTACCGTTCAACTGAGAGGAATAAAGACAAAGAAGTGGTCTTTAGAAAGTTACCTGAGAAAAGCAGAAACATGAGGATGACAAGTCTCTGTGACATCAACTGTGAGGTTTCTGGAATCATTTGTTATGTTTAGTTCTGGATAAATCATGAGGATCATTCTGTGCACACAAAATGTCAGTTCTTCCTCTTCACTGATGTCTTGTACATTAATTCTGAAATCACAACCATCTCCACTGTCAAACAGAAGACCAAGATCATCAGACAAACCCAGGCTGTTATCCACAGAGAACTGACGGTTGCTGGTTATGTTTGTACCTGCAAAGATAATGTAATAAAGCAGATTAAAATGTGCAAATGTTTCTCAAGTTCCTCAATCCAATAAAAATCATGGTCAAAGCACTTTGGGAAAAGATAGAAAATAACCAACATTTCTGTGGAAAAAAATATTTTCATGCTTCCTGACTGATTGGTGGTTAGCTGGAAGGGATACAGCTGCTGCTACTGGGCATGCCTATTTACATATTTTCTGAGCCAACAATATAACGTGAAACCTATGAAAGTTATTGATGGGAGAAACGAAACTTTCGAAGCATTGAATCAATTGAACCAATTGCTTCGAAAAATATTTCAATGTTTCAAAGCACTTGAAACAGCATATGCTGGCGACACCTGCTGGTGAAAACGCTGTAAAAGCATCAAGAATTCAGACCAAACTTACAAAACAAATGGAAATGTTTTTTTGTTTTTATTTTATAAATAAATTGTTTTAAATAATTAATTTAGTTCATTGTGTGTTAAGGGTTTGTTTATACTTAAATAAAACACATAACACAAGCACTAATATTTAATAGTATTTAAGTGTTTATTATTTACTTAAAATTAACTGATTTATGTAATTATTTAATTAGAACTGTCTATAAAAACCAGCAGGCAAGAGTAGTGTTATCAGTTAGGAGAATGAGGTGGATTTAATTCTATCATAAGCTAATTTTGTTATTTTTAAGGTATGATGTGATTTGTAGGTTGAAAGTACTGATTGTTTTTACACATTTTTTTAACTATATAGCCATCTGTGTTAAAGATAAGTTATCTTTTGTTTAACCCACAACATCTGGCACTGAATTCTTTATTTTTTTATAGTAAAATGTCATGGGATTTCATGTCACATGATTAACTGGGCAACCAGAAGTGGTTCATGGGTTCACTTTGGGATCAACACCCCCTAGTGGTGAACCATCGGAGTTTCGAAATGTATCGAAACAGTGTGCCGTAACGAAGCTTCGTTTGCTAAAGTCATGTATCCTAGCCGGTTTCATACGTGCTCCAAAACACTTATTTGAAACAAAAGATTCACAAATGCTTTGAAGCTTTGTGAAGCAGTGTTTCGAACGCGCCCATCACTAATGAAAATGGTTTAAAAAAGCATGGCGCCATAGCTTCATCACTTTAGAATGTCGCAGTGACCGTCTTTTTGCAGTAAAGGACTGTCCATAGTTTGATGAGTGGGAAGATGACATGAAGCGACGCGAGGTTAGCTGCATTGAAAACAGATGAGCTCACATGTGCATATAAAGCTCATATAAAGTTCATGGGATTTTGACCACAGAATGATAAGAGCACACGTTTTAACATATTATTTTACTATTTTACACTCAGTATTTTAACTTAAACACTGCAAGCCATGCATACAGCGCCGGACATGACAGATTTTCTAGTACGCAAAACAAGTACTTTAAAGGAATTCCTTAGCTTATTGCCTTACTGTGGCAGCCAACAACAGCATAGCTTAACCCTCCGCACATTTTTATATTTAGTTATATTGAAAAAGTTTCAATCCAGTCGATCTATTTTACCCAGTTTTAACATGGATTTCTATGGAGACCGGCCGTAGCTGTTGGGCAAGACGGTGGATAGCAACAGCAGCACATAATATTTGCGTTCTGATTGGTCAGATCGCCTGTCAATCAAGCTCCTGTGAATGGTCAATTGTCAAATACACACACAGCTGTCAAAATGTCCATCATGTGGAGTATCTCACGTAAATACAGTCGTTTATCGCTTAAGTGAACGTAAACAGGTGGGTTAAAACCGGATACATGTGTCAGTATATCACATTCATTCGGTCTTAAAGGGACAGCAGCCTAATTAAATACCTGTCTGTCTCATTAATGTTAAAGTCGGCATGAAATGGAAGAAGCGATTGTCTTTTTTTCTCTACTGTGACGTCTATCTGAGTGATCTGAAATGAGAGGGCGGGACTTGATTTCATCCTTCGGGGATTGACTGGATCATTGAAAGTTGGGGTGTTGCTAACAAAATGGAGGCAGATCTGAATGCCAGTTTGCAGTTAGTTGTGGGGGGATTTCTCTCCACTGGATTCACTGCCGACACCCTAGAACAGAGTGAGTTTTAATTAGGGTTGGAGCTGAGCTCTGCAGGACCGGAGTTCGCCACCCCTGCCCTAGCATGAAGAAAATTTTTTTTTTTGAGGAAGACGAGGACGATCAATGGCACAAAACATGCGAGAGAGAGAGAGAGAGAGAGAGAGAGAGAGAGACTGCCTGAATGACTGAGTGCGTCCTCCATCAGGTTAAGTCATATTCATAAAAAAATAGTTTGCTATGTCCTAAGAGTAATGTTGTGGTAATATCCTAATATCCTTTCAGTTTTTAAGGGTAGTGTACTCCCCCATGGCTTGCGTCAGCACCGGTCAATGCATTGATTTCTATAAAGTGAAGCATCAGCTACAGTTTTTCCCCCTGATGTTTATCCCAGCGTTTACCCCTCACGTCACTAGCTCCACACTTGCGCCATAGCTCGTAACTGGACAAGAAGATGAGTTGTTTTGAGGGGGAGGGGAAGTTAACGTTTTTGATTAAAGATTACGAGGGCACATAAATTAAAAAAAAATAATGAAGTGCACCGATAAATTATTTATAATAAACTATAGTATTCCATTAAAAAATAAGAATTTTCAATTTTGATTTTATGCCGACTTTAATCAAACAACAAAAGATGTTAAATAAATTATACATGTTAAACCAACTGTATTAGAAAAATGAGTTTATTTAATATTTAATTTAATATGTATCTACTGTATTTGTC